ACAAAAACACAAACACTACAAAAAAATTAATTGTTTTTTCGTGTTTTTGTTTGTGGGGTGGGGGTGGGGGGGGGGGGGGGTTGTGGGGGGGGGGGTTCTGGTGGGGGGGTGTTTGTGGGGGGGGGGGGGGGGGGGGGGGGGGTTAACCTGGCATAAGATCTCTCTTTATTCAAGATCTCATCTTCCAGCATGCACTACGAACATCGAAATCGTAAACTTGAAGAAAGAATCTGTAATTTGAAGGATGCCTCGGAATTAATATTGCAACTTCAAAGCTTAATCGCTCGAGATATGGAGATTGTGGCAAAACAAGCGCTACGAAACAATAGGGTAAGACACGTTATGCTCCACTCCGTACTTCCAGGTGATGAGACGATTATCTATTGTTATTGTCCTGAAATGAGGGTTGTCTATTTCATTGCAACCTACACTGTTAGAAATTTTCGTAAAATAGAGAATGAAAAAATAGTTGTAGCTAGTAAAACCATCACAAAACTGTTCTCCCGTATTGTAAAGATTGAAAAACATGGTTGAAAATTTTTAGACTCTGAAGTGTTTTTTCGTTCCTCAATATTTAAAGTGTATTAGACGACACCTATTACTAAGGAAAATAAAGCTATATGAAGCTAGTTCAGTATCGATCAGCGATCCGTAACCGATTTCAAACACTTAAATAGTTGGACCTGAGTGATCTGCACATGCGTTCAGATAATCATTCTATTGATTAAAATGGAAAAACCTTGTTCAAATGACCATTCATTAGAGTCATATGGTGGAAATGATGACAAAGTGGCTATTTACAAAACAACATCTGTTTTTAATGTTGCCATTTCGGGCAGGAAAAGCCATATTTACACATTGAAGACAACACAAATCTTCTAGCCCCTTCAAGCATATCTGTTGTTACTATATCACCCTAAAACACGTTTTTCGAAAATCAGTTAAGGGAATTCCCCTTTTCGACACTATTCAAAGAATGGCTCATCAGAAAATTTTGAAACTTATAGAGCAAATAGATCTCGATAAGTATAGTAAAATTTGTCATAGGCTCGTTCTCCAAATTTTTCCTTCTGGAAGATATCGTGATCACTGTTGCCAAAAACGGTCTCCCTTATCGTCCCGCTTTCTTAACCGCAATACGTCCGATACAGCTGAAAATTGTTTTACAGATACGAAAGATCTTTTGGGTTTCTTTCTATCTTACTCCGTTTGTGTAAAAAGGGTCCAACATACTGAGAGTACCCTAAAAAATCCATACTTTTTTACTAGAGCTTTTTTGGAAGACCCGAAGAAAATCAATAGTACGTCATTTTTCGAAAACCAAAAACAATAGGCGCCCAAAACACTATATTGTGTCTGTAAAAAAAACGTTTCAGCTCGATCTAATGTACCACACCTGAAAAACGAAATCGCTTCTGGAGGTTTTCATGCGAGAAACCTCAAAAGAAAAAATTTGTTTTACAGTTTTCAGATAAATTTCATACAGAAGAGGTTCTATTATTTTGTTTTTTTGGCTTTAAAGCTGTACGTGAGTTGTCAAAACATCGACAATAGAGAGAGGGCACTTATAAGTATATATAAAGCTGGAAAAATCAAAAATGAGAATTTTGGATCGAGAAAAGGAGTGTCTCCTTAAGATCCTCTTCCTCCCACAAAATCGAGTTTCGTCAGAAAGTCGATTTTTGAAGGCCTTTTCTCCTTCGATAGGCCAAGCACACGATATTGAATCGAAGCTTTGTGTGCATATTCAGGGTGCTTAGTCATGTGCAGAAAAATTTTTTCAATTTTATGCTTCGTCATCTGTATAAGCTATAACAATTTCAGTATTCCTTGGTATGCATGTCCTAGTCTTGCCTTGAGTCTTCTGCATCT